TCTCTCTCTCTCTCTCTCTCTCTCTCTCTCTCTCTCTCTCTCTCTCTCTCTCTCTCTCTCTCTCTCTCTCTCTCTCTCTCACACACACACACACACACTCCAATTCAGGCCCAAACAGTGGACAAGGATTGCTCTACGGAAATTTCCAAGCAGCAGTGGAGAGCGAGCTCCTAGCTGGGCCGTTGCATGATAATTAAGGCGTACAGAGTGGTGAGAGGTGTGTGTGTGTGTGTGTGTGTGTGTGTGTCTGTGTGTGTGTGTATAAAGTGTGGGGCAGACAGAGAACGGCAAGAAAAAGCCCTGAGAAAGCCAGACACAGAGCAGTAACACAGGAATGATTCGTCACACATGACACACCAGATCAGCACGAACCAAACTGCTGACATTGAATGTGGCCACGGCTTCCAACCTGATAATTAATCTCTATAGCGGTTTACACTTATCAACATGACATTTATTTTAGCATAAGGGGAAGCATTCTCTGTGTAATAAACACATGATGTTCTGTTCCTCCACTTTGCCTCTGATAACTGTTTTCACCGACTCACTTACTACTCTCCATCGCCATATGCTCTCGGCTTGGCATGCTGAGCACTTTTTGCAATTCAACACCGATAACCATCTAGTTTGTTTGGGTCTTCAGCCTGTGCTGCATAAAGATAGCAGAGTAATGAAGGGAGCTCGGGATTTTGTAAACAAGCCTTCTAAAAAAGTTCTCTGTGCATGTGACTCCACAAAAGAAAACTTGTGTGGCGAGGGTGATATGAGGTGATATGATGTCAATCAAACAGCACCTGAAAAACATCTAGGTCAACCGATGCCTGACTAAGTTATTTTTTTTACTTATCCTGTGAGACAGTCAACGACTGAGCAAAGAATCTGGACAGGCTAGATTTGTCTCCAATCCAAAGAGGCGACACTGAAACAATCCACCTCTCTCATGCTATACTAGCTGATTAAAAAGGCGGATTTGGTTACCGTCCAAGAAATCATTTCTGCGTTAGAAAGTAATCAACCTTAATAATGAGGAGCTGTTGAAAAGAGCAGACAATGAGAACAGTTCAGAAATCCCCAGTGACTATCAAATACTGTTCCTGAAGAGAAGTGGCTTCAGTTCTTAGGTAATTCTTGACTGCACAGTCAGTGTTGATCCACTTAGCACAGGCCTGTAGGCCTTGGCAAGTTGGCTGATACACGTAAAAGACCTCGCTGACCCCTTATTTATTATTCTGTCCTGCAACAAAGAAAGGTGCTCTTTCATAGTCATCAAGGTTATGTAGAACAAAACACCACTGAAGCATTTCTAGCAGCCATTAATACCAGACATTCCCCCAAAGAACATGCTCCACGTTTCAGGTCATTTCAACAAACTGAAGTTTTGATTTTATCAGAAAGTGCGAGTATACAGTCTGTTTGCCAGCACTTTTAGAGACAATATTTAGATCAGTTCCAGCCATTACTATGAAATGAATACAATCAAGCTTTGACACAGAACTGTTGGTGCTAAGTGAGTTAAAGCAGAGCATTCATGATAGACTTCACAAGCTGAGCTATACCTGGCAGGATTATCATTACTTAAATAACACAACTTTATATGTTGGTTTTTTTCTCATTAATGTATTATGAACATTGAAAAGAATGTTTCCATGATTATGGGAGACTTTTTTTACTTTTTTCAGAACTCAAGATTTTTCACTGAGGAGCACTGTACAAAGCACAGATGTATAAACATGACATTTCAAAATGTCTGGGGACCACCACTGTGACAAAAACAAAACCTTATTAATGCTTTTAAGGTTTGTTTGTGTGTGTGTGTGTGTGTGTGTGTGTGTGTGTGTCATGTAGAGTGACAAGGGTCCCTGGCTTATAGGCTAGCTTTATTTTACCTCATGTGACCGTAGTATTTAACTCAGCTCAACAACCTCTTAGTCAAAGTATTAGGGAAAAAGACAAACCATTAAGCATGTGCCTTTATAGTCTTTTGTTTCTTATAGCTGCTATAGCCGGCTTTGTAATGAAACAAAGAAGCGGGGACATTTCTGAGACAACACTGCCTGAATACATCACAGTGACCAAACATTAGACTGCATAATGGAGTGGAAAATGTATGCTGTGAACTCTGCTGATGAGAAATGTTAATCATAATGCCTGACAGTAACATGTGATCAGTGGTTATGATAATTCTGTGACACAGATTAAATATAGCCGACTCTGTGTTGTGTGAAGCGTTAGAAGGGTGAATGCAAATAGCAGATATACCTCAGGATCATGTGTGCAACAATTGTCTCCCAATAGCCGAGGGCCGTCAGCTTTACATGCACCAACAAATTACATACTGATGTTCCCACGCATGATTTTACCACTTAAGTTCTTCATAAAATAATGTTCAACTGCCTGCAAGTATGTCTGGTTTCATAACTCTATGGTTTAGGCACACATGCATGCACAGAAAACAAACAGATACAGACACTGCACGTGATACAGCATGTGATAACAATAGTTACTTGACATTCCCCCCCCCCAGAGTATAAAACAAAAGGACAAACCCAACTTAGTCCATTAGTTTGTGACCCTCAGGTCTTGATATCTTAGCAGGACTCTTGCACAGCAGAAAAACTTAAACCGTCACCACTTATGTGAACCTTCAGAGATATTTTAGCACGCTAGCTACTGATAAAACATGAGGGTGATATCTTGTATGAAAGGACTGGTCCTGATATGGGTGATAACATAATTTTTCTCTCTACTTTCTCACGATAAATGGAATGATAAATAGCAACAATAATAGCAATACAACACAGTAGATTTCTAGCTCCATACCACATCAATCATGGATTTGCTTAGAGTCAAAGGAAACTGATGGGAATGCCAATGGTGCCATAATTCTAGATTATTATAAAATCTTATAAAATAATGTTTTATCACTTAATAATTTCTATATATTATAGCTCATAAAGAAGTTCTTCGGATGCATCCTTGAGTCTGTGATCAGCAGAAATGCAGATGCAAGAATGCAGAATGTCAAAAATGCTTGATACAATAAAATACTAAATCTGCTGTGTTTCCACATACAGTTCTACATCAGTCTTACTTAGTAGTTTGCCACATTAGGGTTTCACGCTCATGCCTTTGCTATACTATCAGTATGTTAAATAAGAACAAATATACCTCAATTTTAGTGCCTCTCAGTTCACTGTGCATGGCCTTAACGTTTTCACAGAACAGTCAAATCAGCAAGAATAATGGCTCACTAAATGTACCGTATACTACACGAAATCCCAATGCTGATAAAGAACAGTGCCGGATGCTCACTAATTACATCAACCCACCCACTCAAGTTATACATGCAAAAGTGTAATCATAACAAACACAACAATATTGAAACCACTGCACGTATCCAAAACATGTAGCATCAAAGAGGCAATGCTGCTCAAACTGAGTATTATAAAAACATCCCTCTTGACAGGTGCATGTTTGAGAAGGTGTACATCAAGAGTGGAATAACAAAGTCTTACATTTCTGCACTACAATAAGAAGATAACCCTAACACATAAAATCAGTAATACAGTAATAATCCTCTTTAAAATATATTACTTTGTATAAAAGATACAACTGCCAGAGGGCCTGATGAACTGGGTCTACTGGCATTAGATTATAACGTTGTCAGTGTCAACACACTGACAACAACATCTAGCTATTAGGGTCATTTAAGGGCTTTTTTATTACAAAACTGTATGTACCAATAAGTGCCTGTTGTTTTGTTCACCTCTGTGGCTGCATTCATACCTGAATAACTGCTCTTGTTGTTTATGCAACTCACTCCTGGCTAAAATGTCAAGCCTCTACCATAAACACAACCGAGCAAGGCCCTGACTAACGACTGTCCCTTCACTTCAACAATGGTAGGCGCGTTAGCCATCGCAGCTAGCAACTGAACTTAGCAAGCGTGCTAACATCTTTCAGGACAGCACAGTAAGTATTAAAGCTAACGTTAGACAACAGCCAACGACAACAGGGAAAGTACGCAGCAAAAATGATTGTGCTCGTTGTCTAATAAGCCAATGAATGTCTATGTGGACAGTTTGCTAAGTGTGAGAGGGAGCCTTGTTTTTGACTGCTCAACCTTACCCTTTCTGCTGCGGACTCGGTGGGGGTGACAGGGCCAACAGCGTGCAAAAACAACCCCATTTTTAGAGCCGAACATACGCCTCTCATTCCTCCAAAAAGTGGCTAGCGCTATGGCAAAAACACGCGCATGTACACGCTGTTGTTCACAAACTGAGTGCGAATATCCTCAACTATTTCTCGTCCCCCGTCGCGCCGAGAGGCCGCTGAATGCGCCGCCTCCTCTGCGTACTGGACATTTCAACAAGGCACGGAGCTGGCGCAACTGGCTGCTGTCGGTGCTACTGGTTCATACAGCTGTTACACAAGCCGCTCCTCCAGCACAGGCACTCTGCCTCGGTCTGCTGGGTGTGGCGTGGTGGTCACCTCGACCCGATCCATGTGCGCAACGTGATGGGCGTTCAGTTGAGTGGATGGCCTCTGGTTTTGCGGACTGACCTGCGATTGGACAGCCGAGGCCAGCTGGGGAGAGGGTGACCAATCACTGAGCGGTGCGTCTCCAGTGCATGGCCTTGTTGTCTTCCTAGGGTCCTCTTCTCTGGTTTATGGGCACACATGTTCTAAAGACTGTGGGCTTCCTCATGATCCAATTACAAAACCATTTTGACAGGAGCAGTGCTTATAAATAACATTTCTTACAGTTAACCAGAAAAGCTAATCAAAGTAAACAAGTTCAACAACAGTGTTGGGAGAGAGGTTCTACATTGTACCAGAGGCCAGTAAAATTCATACCCAGTATGTCACTGGTGTACAAGCCAGTTAAATCTGCAACAAGAACTTTCTCCTCATTTCAGCCTAAAGCTTGTAGACATAAAACAGTTCAAAGTCAACTAATGTGCAGTTTTGCATAATGAAGAAAGACACGGGAAGAGATCTATTTTTATCCTTTGGTGTGTTATTACCATTACTCATCTTTCATACAGTGTCAAGCATCTCCTATATTAAAAATAATTTTAAAGGGCCACTTCACTCAACTTGCAAAATTACATATTTTTCCACTTACATCTGGTAGTTTTGGATTTACCTGTTCAAGTTTGAGATATTGGAATTTGAAACATTTGCTGCCAGCCTTACATAATGGAAGTTTTACAAATGAACATTAAATTTAAATGGAAGAAATTTATGTTTTAACACTGTTCTTAGTTACTCAGTTTAATCCAACTACCTTCTGTTGAAGAAACCGTCCAGATAAAAAAATATTTTTTAATACATTCATTGCATTTTATTGAGGTGGCGGTATTAGTTTCAAAAGGTGGACATCTCATACAACTTAAACAATCTGGAGGGACATACAACTAGTGTTAAGTAAGAAAATATGTCATTGTTTTAAGATTTGAGTGAACCCAGCCCCTTATTCTGTAGATTAAACTCAGCATTCAAGTCAAACAGGGTTGTTACATGATCTGTGAAGCAGTACAACATCCTTAAAATTAATTTGTTTGAGCATAATTGCAGTTTCCATTGTCATCATCATTCATCATCATTCATCATCATTCGTCATGATTTTAATTTACAACCAGGAAAGGCACTGTGATTTGCTTTTAGTGATAAGCAAATCATCACCAGTCCCTTTCATGAGGCTGTCTGTACGGTACCCCTAAAAGACTAAAAACATCCTTCTCTGTCGGTGTAGTAAGTGCAGTGCCACCATACACCTTCAAGCTACCCTGGCGCACCACATTTTCATTCAGCGAGTGCTCTGACAAGCTCATGTTTCTTGTCTTTGCAAGGGCTCTCAATGAGCGGTTGAAGTGTGCCGACCCGGTGAAATACATGAGAGAACAGGCAAACTCATTGTAGGGCACTACAATGATGTCCAGCCTGCGATGGCGGTGGCCGGGTCCTGGCAAACGGCACACACCCAGGTATTTCTTCTGCTCTCCATTCTCCTCGTGGCTCACCAGATCGTCTGTCAAAAACCCTTAGAAATAAAACGTTTTTTTCAGTTTTTCTAAAGGAAACAAACCCATGAATAAGACACAAGAAAACCATCAACACCAAAAAAAGACGGAGCTTACCACTGTCATGTAGGCTCTGTAACACTTTGCTGAAAACACCCTTGTGAGACTTGCCATCAGGATGAGATATAAGTACATCAACATCTCCACATGTGGCCTTTCCACGGCGGTAGGAGCCACATGCCATCGCCACCAGGTGTGGGTCTATGGCCTGGACAGCAACCCTCACCTGCAAAACACAAAATAGAGGCTATCATCTATCCTAGAGTGAGGGAGCTTTTTTTAAAGGTCCAGTGTGTAGGATTTAGTGGCTTCTAGCTGTGTAGTTGTAGATTGCAACCCCCTCGTTTCACCTATACCTTCCAAGAACAAAGGAGAAACTACGGTGGCTGTGAAATATGCAAAAAACACAAACACCGCTGTGTAGAGTCAGTTTTTGGTTTAAAAGGTTCATTCTAAGGTAACAGAAACAAAACAATTCCTATATTCAGTTTTTAACTGTTTCCAGCCAAATACTGAGAGGTAGGCTCGCTAAAGCATCACATATTATTTTGACAAGCCTGAGGGAGTACACATGCTTTAGTCATTTATCTCATGTGTACTTTCTATCTGGCAGCTTTGGAGGAAAAAGAAAATCCAAGTAATACAATATGAAAACAACTAGCGTTGTACTCAACGCTCTGGAGTGAACAGGTTTCTGGCTAACTTAAGATGCAGCAACTTTCAAGAGTAAGTTTTCCCCTTTGGGATGCTCCACTTTGAGAACACAGTCTGGTTTTCCCATTACCAAACAGTAAGGGAAAGCTGACACAAACTTTTTCCTACTTCAAGGCTTCTGCTTCCAAGGTTTTGTGGGTAAGAGGTGGATTCTTTGTCAAAGATATCTCACCTATGTAAAGTTGACCAAACAACCTACTGAAGTAGTGAAAGATGCAAACATATTTCAGTCGTCATCACAGAATGATACAAGCAGACAGTGTGACCAATGAAGATACACTACCACTTTCTCTATGGCTGCGGCTTCTTCTCTGGGCATTCGGTCTAGAAAGTCATCGTAGTGCTTGAGTCCTATCTTCTGAGTGTTGCTTAGGTGGGCTTTTGTGCGGATGTCCTCCAATGTGCGAAATCCCTAAAAGGCAGACAACACAGAACATTTAACAGATTATCTGTCTCATGTCTATATAGTGAGAGTTTCAGCAAATAAGAGTATGTTTTTTAAAAATGACCTACTGTAGCTTCAAAGGTTCGGATGAAGATTGCACAGCTTTTAAATGTTTTGTTTTCCTACTGTAATCTTTTGACAAGCCCTTAATTTACAGAATAACAAAAGCCAATAAAAGGACATAAAAGGACAGTACTTAAATAAATATTTGAGGCTTTACATTTTAGATAATGATTTCTTAAATCTGTTTTTTTAAATAGCTATGCCAAGATAGATATTGCGTGGGACATACGGTTTAAAAATAAACTTGTCAGTTCTCTCTGGTGGACAAACGATGTATTAGAGACACTGTCAGATATCATTGGCCTTACTGCACTACAATTTCTTACACAAATACAGGCCTGGTACATTTATCAGTCAGGCTGTAATCCAAGGTTTCAGTCTGGATTGTATTAGTATTATCTGACAAATCTGTTAATACAAATAGATGTCTTGTCACTGTGTTGTAAATTGTACTGTGATGTGAATAGCCTAAGGGTAAAGAAAACAGTCTAGTCGCAGAGAGGAAGTGCAAGCTCAAAGGTCTTTCAACTTCAAACTGTCACATTGAGACAGTATCAAGTATGTCTATAATATTTTGAGCGGATGCGTGTGCCTCACCTGTTGGTACCACAGCTTTGCAGTTTTAGCTCCTGCACCCCAGATGTTAGTAAAAAGCTCCAATACTGGCACAGCCTCCCCGATGTGATCTAGCTTTCGCAGGTGACCACTCTCCATGATCTCATCAATTTTGTCGGCCATGCGTTTTCCAATTCCTGGGATCTGACAGGCCTCCTAAGAGCAAAATGGAAAACAAATTCTGATTGAAAAATGAATAAAAGCACAGAAATCCCTGTATTGTACTTTTTTTGTTGGATAACAAATTCTTTTTACACATTACTGACACTACCAACAACATAATATTTAAAGTATCTGCATTTGGTTACCTGATATGATGTAATAGGCTTGTGGTAACTCTTCAGTGCGTTGACAGCCTTGGAGTAGCCCAGCGCTCTCCACTTGTCCCCTTGGTGCGTGTAGGCCTTGGCTAGCACTTCTAGTTTGTCTGTGATGTGCTTGTTGAAGTTGTTAGTTTTGGACTGAGAGGACTGGGCACAGACCCACTTCCCTGAGAGCACCTTCTGAGCCGCAGCGTCTGAACCGGGTTCCAGGCTAGGGCCAGGAGTCTCCTCTTTGGGGTGCTGGCCAGTGATAAGAGCTTCCAGGTCACTCTGAGAGACACCGTCTTCTTCTCCTCGCACTTCCTCTTTCGAGTCTGGGACCGCCTGAGAGTAAAATGTAATGTAAAACTATAAAAACAATCCAGAGCACAAGCAGACTTATTGTTTTTATGTGTTCATGGTCTAGCTTACCACATCTATGGTCTCCTCTTTGGTTTGATCAGACGCTGGTTCTACAATAGTTTCTGCAGCAGGCTTGACAGTCGGCAACTCTTCTTTAATTTTTTCATGCCCTGTTTCAGATTCCCTAAGTGGAGAGAATCATTTTGTAAATTCTTACATTTTCAAGCGGTAAATGTTGAGTAAAAAAGTAGATTTCACCATGGCTTTCTTCTCCGTATTGACAAGCACAAGTCTTTGTATGTGATCAATTGCAAACACCATGAGATACAGATACAGGTAACAATAGCTTTCTTACATTAGCATTCTAATAAAGTATTATTACCTCTTAGGTAAAAGAAGGCTGTAGCTGGCAACATCCAGCTTTTGTTTCTCACTGATGCACAAGCTCAACCAAGTGCATTTCACCAGTTGGACTCCAGAGGGCATACAATCCACTCTCAGTAAGCGCAGAGCCCTGTCCATGTCCATGTTGTCATCTACAACAACATGAGTGACACTGGGACACAGTGAACTCTCTGTCTGCCCTCCATTCTGTTGAATTTGTCTTTGGAAGATCTGGTATCTGGCATTTCCTATTCCAGCAGGCAGGATGTACACTGTGACACCGTTAAAAGTGTTTCCTGTAACAGAAGAGAGGAATGGGTTACAATTTCTGGCTTCTACTTTGGTTTTTATCAGATAATCATAAATTATTCACTTTCTCTCACACATGCACACAAACACAGTAACAACCTGTTATATCACATTCATCGGGTTTCTTCTTTGCTACGGGTGCATCCTTTCCGTGATACACTTTGGCTCTTTTAACTTTGGGAAAGGCTTTCATAATCCCGTGACGACGCTCCATCTTGTCTCTTGAAGGGGGACACCAGTGGCCTGTGACATGAGGCATAATTATGAAGTTATCAATAATTTTCGGGAGTAAAACACAAACACAAATCTGGAACACACGCTGTATACTACTAATTATACACAATACTAATTTAACAGTGTTTGTATGTATTGGGTTCACTCTAGACAATGGAGTAAATGTAAGTATTAAACAATTGAAAAATCTATTTTTGGGGCTGCTATTAATTGTATTATTATTTTGTATTACTGTTCTTTACAATTTGACAGTAGTAATAGTTCAGTGTAAGAATACTCCATTAAAAAGGCCATGCATTGTGAGTGGGTATGTGAGTATTATCATCTTAAGTATCAAAGTAAAAGCCCACAGTACACAGACAGAGGGCCCTGTCATTTTATTATTCCCCGTTTTATTATCACACACTATAACAGATAACATGATCATTCATGTAGAAAGTAAAGTATTAATCTGCAATGTAATGACTGTGGATATTACATACATGTAGTGCCGTCGTAAATACAACACTTACTCAAGTAAAGTACAAAGACCTCATATTGTCGTAGCCTACAACTGCTCTGCACTGTCAACATCCGTGTATATTATTATATTATAATATCAGTACATAGTATCAAAGTTGGGCACAGGAATAGCATAGAGTGTCTCGGCTTGTACTCAGTGCAGATATCCAGCTAGTTTACACCATATAACGTTACCATCAATGGTTTACACAGAAGTTAACGTAATGTTGTTTAAACGGACTGAAAAATCAATCTTTGTTATTACAACATTGTATTAGCTACGTAGCTACCTTTAGCGCCTGCTAACGTTAGAAGTAGCAGACAGTCGCTGTTTCAACCATCATTATTACACATTATTTAAATGACGCTTTACATATGGCACTATAACTGTACATTAGCAGTGGAGGAGCAGTGGAGGAGCAGTAGAGGAGCAGTAGAGGAGCAGTAAGTTAATATTTTGGCTCTTACCCCTGCTCTGATGGAACCATACATCCAACCATTAAAAACAGACAGCGTTGCATTCTAATGTTTCACTTCCGGGTCAATTAGTTGATTTATTTTTTTCTAAAACTTAAAGTATACCCACAATCGACATATAAAATCGTGTTATTTCAAACAACTTTCGCGATGATATAGTTAAAGATTAATTCTATGACTATTTTTCTATTTAGTTTGTCGGTTACTGTGGTAACGGACTGAGTCCGGAAGTGGCCCTGAGAAACAGAAACATCTTTAGAACAAACATGGCTGTGCAAAGCTGGATTGATATCCTAAAATCCTCAAAGAAAACAGCTTTGATACACGATGGTGAGTAACTTACAAAGAAGAAAAACCAAGCTGTAGAAGTAGAAAGAATTTACCCTCAGACAGAAGTAGCCTCGTTATTTTCAGTGTGTTAACTCAGACTGTTAGCTAGCTTTGCAGCTAACATTAATGTTACTAGGCAACAAGCAGGTGGCACAACTACCCCTGTAGCATATGACACACGTCGTTTTAACAGAAATAGACAGTAAAACACGTCGCAAGTATAGTACAATGAGTAAAAACAACTAGTTGCAATCTGACTCACTAATCTCTGCGTGTCTTTACAGCTAACCTAGCTACGACCTCACTCTAATCCGTGAGTCAGCTCTGCCTTATTGTTAGCATCTATGCTCACTTTACAATAATCCCTGAAGCAATACTACTTCCTTTCTGTTTACAGCAATTACAGCTGTTTTTATTTGGCCAAAAGTGAATTAAAAGTTGTAGTTGGCAGAATGAAAGAAAGACTGAATGTATTGCTTACTATCCTAAGAATGATCACAGTATTGCTCTGTTAGTATTGACACTGTATGGTTTGTGTTATAGCCAAACTATAATTATAGTGTTCTGGTTGTCTAGTTTGTATAAAGATACATCTTTACAAATTCCACCTCCAGGAAAAAGGAAGATCCATTACCTTTTTACAGATGGAAGAGAAATGGCAGAAGAGTATGACTTGAAAACAGATGAGCTCATTGGTAAGCAACAGCCTTCTGAACCATGTAGTTGTTGCATTCTGAATTTCAATGGTATACATTTATAAAATGTTTTGTGCTTTTCAGTACGAAAGTGGCGTCATAAAAGCACACTTGGAGCTCATGGAGAATGGCAGGTAGAAGTTGGGGAGCCACTTGCAGGAACTGTCACTTCTTTGGATTCGGAGATGATCAAGGAGAATTGCTCCAATGTGGGTTTTCTTCAATGTTCTCTATGCCTGTGACTTTACAGTTACATTAGACCCACTTCATCATTTAATGTGCTTTTTTTGTTTGTTTTATTTCACTTTGATTCCCATTAGAGAAAAAATGTTAAAGATTTCTGTTTCCACAGCCTGTGTTCATGCGTAAAGACACAAAGACCAGCTTTCAGTGGAGAATCCGCAACCTTCCCTACCCCAAAGATGTCTTCAGTGTTTCTGTGGAACCGTCTGAGAGATGCATCATCATAAAAACCTCAAACAAAAAGTAAATAACACATGGTTCTTTTCATTCCTGTGTTGTACACTTGTTCCATGTAATTATTTTGTCCTCCCTATAGGTGGCACTGTTTACAATACATTTGTCTCCACAGTGGTGTGATAAACCTGTGACATCCTCTCCATGTCTTCGCAGGTATTATAAGAAGTTCAGTATTGTTGATTTAGATCGCAGTCAGCTGCCATTGGACAGCTCCGCTCTCACCTTCACTCACGCCAACAACACTTTGATTGTCAATGTAAGTCCTACACTGCAATGAACAATAACCTAATGCTTTAAATATAAAATAATGTAAGCATCAAAGGTTGATAGGTGAGACCGAAACATCATCTCGGTAACAGAATAATTGCAAACATATCTGTAAAAGACTTTTTTTCCAAAGACAATCCCCCATAAATCATCCTTTCTCACATTAGACAAAACTTTAACTTTGTTTATTAAAGCATTTTATGCAACTTATAAGGATGAGATGCGAATGTTTTCTTCTTCTTCAGACTTTGAACTCCTGTTTTTACTCTTCGTACCACTTACTGCAATGTTTTTTTTGACATTACAACAATATGTTTCTATGCCTACGACCGTTGCTATTTTTGTGGTATTTGCTTTGTATTTTGCACACTCTTCCAACATGATTACAGTGAAGGATTTGCAGCAGGGAGAAGCAGAGAAGATGGCAAGAATGTCAAAGTAATTATTTTTCTTCTCTCTTGTCCAGTATAAGAAACCCAAGGAGATCTTAACCCTTGAACAGGAGCTGCTGAAGGAGCTGAAGAAACTGAAGGGGACTGGTGAAGGAGATGTCGACTGCAAAACTCAGTGAATTCTGACTGTGGGAGCAAGAGGATCATTCTGGGTTGCATTTAAAGAAGTCAAATGTGAGCGTTTAATTTTTCTTTAGTGGATCCCTTCGTTGCAAAAAGCACAGTGCCTTCCTAATGCTTCTATTTGTGTTTAGTAACTGGGGTCAATTTACTAGAGTTGTTAGTGTTGAAATGTGTCCTGCCATTCATATTTGATACAGAAATATTCATTAAAATATATTGTTTTGCAGTCTCACAATCAGATTTATTAACATTATGTTTTCCCAAATGATTTCTTTCACAGAAAAATAATTTAACAATTTACATAAAACCTTTTGTAGGGAAATTTAAAATTGTATCACAACAGTGTCTATTTTTGCAAACCTACCAGGGAGCAATTTTGATGGGGTCACATAACCTACCACCCTCCTTTCATTGATGTCCTTGTAAAACACTCAAAACACACAATGCCTCATCCCTGTTCGTTCCAGGGTCACTCTTACGAGCACATCCCATTTGTGTTAACTGAATACCCTCATGTTCCTTGCATGTAGGGGGCCACCCTGAAAGCCATTACTGAAACTCTGGTCAGCGAGCAAGCTAGTGTTACTGTTTCCCTTTACAACAGAGGGTCTGACCCTGTGGTCTCCAGCTAAAACTCCATACACACAAGTAAGAAATGGGTGTAACTGTTGCTTTGTTCCAAATGGATATCTTGTTATTGTCTAACAAATATAAAGATGGTATTTCATGCATTTGGATTTTTGAAGTCTATGTATATATGACATCTATAGATGGAAAATGATTGTATAGGCCCATGCTTCCAGATGGGATGTTTGTCTACTTTTTCACCAAGACCAATTAAGTAAAAACATTGTCGAGTCAGAAAATACTTAGACAGTGGATAAAAAAAGAACAGTGCTGTTTAAAAGAGACAATGGCATTTAAATATAGATTGTTTCAACCTTGTGATTCCTTGCATTTTTTTACCACTTGTCCAAACCCAGAGAGCAAGTGCAAAAAGCAGAGACAAAACCACAGGTCTCTCTGACTATTGTGCTTTGTCTTCTTCCAGATGGAAAGAATAGGAATACAAGAAAACATTTTAAACCCAGCCTGTCCTGTTGTTTTGCAAATTCTTATGAGGGACTTGGTTTTTTTTTTTTTTTCACTTTTGACAAAAATGCATTCATACATACTTGATTAGGTAGCCTGTTTGGTTTTTAAAGAGGTGCGGTGTTAACGCAACTTAAATATGTCATGTAAGAAGTATGTTGAGTCGATGTCCTAAAAGTATCCATTTTGAGGTCTTTATTTTCACAATTTTAGTTTAATGCTTTACAGTCTTCAGAGCCCAAGCTGCTGTCAAAACAATTTCCTGCGGCAGCAAACACAAACTAACAAATTGGACATCCAGCTCATGCACTGTGAGAGCAGCCAAGTCCTTCTGTTCGGGGTCTTCTTCCTCCCCTGTCGTTTGGCCTCTGATGGTCATGCTCAACTGCTTCTGGGAAGAGGGTTTCTTTTCTGCCTCCCTTTCACTCCCGAATGCCTCTTCCCAGCCATTCCCCCTCTTTCAGCCGATGCCACATTTTGCCACACAGGCCCTGATGCTTTTTTTGCAACCCCTCTCCGCGAGCCCCCCTCCCTCAAACCCCTTACCCCTCCCTGTGTGACTGGCTTCTTTTTGATAACTGACCCCTCCTCGTGTTATTATTCGAACCCACTATTGTATAACATGCCCTTTTATATGAGGTTTCACAAAGAGCCCATTTGATCAGAGGGTTACGGTGTGCGATCGTGAGAAATGCAACTACATGGTGGTAACCTTTGTTTGGGCCAAAATGGTGGGCTGACCTCATCGCTTTTAATGCATAGCTCGGGCCATTCAGGCCCAAGTCTCACTTGCTGAGCACATTGAATTCAGTAGCCTGTCACAGATATTGCCCCTCAGTTATCTGGGTCTCCAGCTCGAAGAAGAAGGGGAGAAAAAAAAACAACAGTTTTTGGGGGCAACCAACAATGTATGCTAGCTTTCTGTCCCACAACAACCACACAAGAGAAAAGCCAAGCAGCTTGTGAACTGATTCTTAGTGGTTTTAATATACACTCTACAATAAATATTTCCATCATTTGACGTCATTTACATTTTTACAGTAAAAATATATTCATATATGTAGAAAAAAAAAACAGGTTAAAATTTCTCCAAAATAGCCTCAGTCAAGATAGTCCACAAGAAAATCCACAGATAGCTGCCGTGTCTAGCTTCATTGTACTTTTCTCTTTTAAACATTCTTTGTTGCTGAGCTGGCTAACTTCTAACCAAAGGTTTTCACTCATAACAGTTTCATTTGAGCTCTTCTGTACTTAAATTTCCCCCTGATTTAATAAGTAAAAGTCTGCCCTAAAGTCTGTCTGAATTGGAAATAACTAGCAGATTAGATAGTCAATGTTTACATAAAATCCAGTACAAAGAATTACATAAAACGTCCACAAAATGAGGCAAAAAGTGTATGGGCACTTGACTGTAAAAGTTAATTTCTCTGGGAGCACTTGTCTTCTCTTGTAGTGGTTCCTCTGTTCATCCACAGTTCTCCCTCAGTGGTTTCAGTCCTCAGCGGCCCCCTGAGCGCTGGTGATGGGAATGTTTAGTCCGCTTGTTCAAAGGCTGCGCAGGGACAGCGAGAGGGAGGACGTCAAACGGTCTCCTCTCGTTCAGCAAGTGCCCCCTGGGTAGACGCTTCATGAAGTGGGCCTCCCTCTGGTGCTGCTTGGTCTTGGAGGCCTTCCTGGGACGGCCCTTGCGTGTAAAAGCCATGTACCAGCCCTCGTACTTGGCGTTCTGGAGTGCCGTGTAGTTGTTTTCCAGAACAATCTCGGTGAAGATGCAGTCTTTGCCTCGTCCTTTCCGCTGGGGAAAGGGGAAAAAAAGTGGGGAGAAGCTGAGGTATTTTGGACAATTTCCAGGAAGCAGAAACATCGTCTTCATTTCCAGACACTCAAATACCCTTTGAAACCTTGAGAGGGCTGCTCAGACAAATCTGAAAATCAAATTTGTTCTGGCTGCGAATATGTCTCAACAATGTGTCGCCATAAGCTGTAAATCTGGAATAACATTTCCAAGAAACTAACAAACTTCAAGATGTTGCTTTAGTCATAATGCAGCCACAAAACTATGAATTCCAGATTACCTTGCCGATCAGCTTCCCCCTCTTGTTCATACATATGTAGTATCCTGTCTTCACCCCTTTAATACGGATACGACTTCCAAAAGAGTCTGTCTCCACCTCCAGTTTAGCTGCACAGACAAAACAGATCACAGATAATGAGATGACATGGTGCAGGCATGCAGATTATGATGTTACAGCGTGTGAGACAAATGACCTCGGCACATCTTTCGTCTGAATGTATTCTTTATGTACGGCAGAGACTCTAATAAACTGGAATTACATCATTAGATGGCATTAAACCATTTTTAAATGAGCATGACCGGTGAACCAGAATCATGAAGGTGACATATACATTTTCTCTAAACCCTTTTAAGATCCAGTAGCCGCCTTTAACAATGGCATGCGAGCCGTCCAAAATAGCACCAAATGATAGTGATTTTGCACGGCACGATTGTTGCTGAACGTCTGTAAATGCTGTGCTGTGATGCAGTTCGGACTGGGGATAAAGGAGAGTGAGAATACTGCGGTAGGGGACACAGCCACAAGCACAGAGCAGCGGTCAGATTTGGGCGAGTTACAAGAGTGACACCCACTTAGGATGTGTGGCCAATGTGTGCATGACTGACTCTCTCTCCCTTCTGTGTGTGTGAATGTGTGCATGTAGGCCCAGAAATGTAAAAGACAAAAGAGCACACAGGAGAGGCAAGGAGAGGAAAAGGTATAAAGTGAAGATGCTGACTTCACCGCTCCTTATAAATTGAGTCATACATTGAGTTGTAATGCAATGAAAATTCCTCATAAAACGAGGCTCCAAAAAAGCAGGCAGCAGGCACAGAGGAGTGGATGGACGGTGGTGGCTGCGGTGGAAAGATGGCTAGACACACCAAAATCCTTTGGTGACAGAAATCCTGCTTCCTTTAAAGTCGAAGACAGTTTTCCCCTTGCTAGAAGCAAAGAGCAAAGTATCTCCCTGAGGTCCATCTTAACAGGTGTCAAGGACTACCAACACACTAAAGAAATAAATCATCTTCATAAGGCTATAAAAGATGGCAACACTGATGCCACTAACACTGTTTACAATTGCTACTACTGTTTCTCCTGGCTCTAACATTTTCCTACAGGCTGCCAAAAACGACATCACTTATACTGCTTTTCAACATTGAAACAATCCCCGTGTTGGTGCGGGCGAACATGTTTCCTATTTTATTGTTTTCCTGAGGTTTAAATGTATTGAAATGTAAGAAACGATGGCCTTTAGCTGTCATCGGTTTTGATTCATCTGGTCGTAACACACGCAGGGGCTTGGAGTAAAGTTGCTTCATCATTTCAGAGACAATATAAAGTGCTCTCCCTGAGTGGGTTAACATATGTGGACCTCGGCTGTTTATTATAGAGCTGTGTTTGAATGCGCAAATTATAAAGAGCCGCCTCGTGTGAGGGCTTAGCTAGGCTATTTAGCACACTCTTCCAATAGTACAAATTAAATGATGTATTCTCGCGATATTTTGCACATGTCTCTCATAAATTGACCTAACTGCGCATGTGGTGTCGCTTATTAACACTTGTTAAATGGATACTGAATTATGTTTTATGTAATTACAATGAATAATAACAGTAATTATTACTATTATTAGCTCTTTAAACCGCCGCTGACTCACACCCCTCCCTGCTGGTCCTCCGGTAATTCCTGTTTCTTACCGTGCACCGCTCCGTCGTCCCCGTTGGCGTTGACCCGCTTGTTGGCCAGGACCTGGACGTGTTTCCCGCTGGTGCGGCTGTACAGCTGGTAGGTTCGTGTCAACCTGCGGCTCATCCGGTCCGACAGTCGGCTCTGCTCGGTGACATGGTGCTTGAAGTTAGGAGGAGACTGCACAGTGTTCTGTCGGACAATGGGAAACACATGGCGTGAAAAATATTGAAATGACTTTTTAATGTCGCAGGACTTTTTTTTTTTTTTTTTTTTTTTTACTTTGCAAGTCGGGAAAGTCTGAAACATGTCAACCGTGAGGAGACTAAAGGTTGCCAGTCAAACATCCGAGGCCCAGGCCCACAGTTCATTATGTCATCCATCACGTTTAAATAATTCACCCTGCTCTTTCTTCTCTCGTTTGTTTGTGCGTATAGCCTACAGTATCTTTTTTTGGACATTCTTTCATGGACCCACGGGGATGACATTTCCCTCTGATAGGTTGTTTTTACCACCGATGATCTTTCACCCCTTCTTGACTTCTCTTTTTCTTCTCATTTCAGCCGTTCTCCATCCACATGTGTTTTAACAATCACTTTTTAGACTGGAGCTTACCTCTTTTCAAGATGTTTGAATAGTTGCCAATTGCCATAGCGCTCATAATAAAATGTTTTCATTGTTATTGCAGCCTATTGCAGATGTAGAGACGCTGAACTGTAAGCCGCTAAGCACGGCGCCTGCATACCTGTTAACTTTTACTTACTTAATTACAGAACTTTACGCAACAGTAATGCTTTTTATTGAAGTGAAAATGTGAGTTACCTGTGCGTAAAAGCAAAGCGCTGTGAACTGAATTAACCTGAGGGGGGAAAAGAAAAAGAAAAATTAAAAGGTCTAACCTGTTGCTCCAATACAATGAGTTCAATAGGCAACTATATTATCTTGACACCTCTTTACTTACAGATAACCTAACCTCGATGTTCTCAGCCTCATCTTGTAATAGTTCAAATATTGCTTCATGAATACTCCACTGATGCGGCGCTGGAAGCTCTCGGAAATAAAGTTCCTCCTGATGGGGATTTCAGCTCCGTTTTATCCCCCTCTTGTTACACATAGAAGGCGATAGCCGTGACAATTAAGAGATCCAGAAAGTGTCAGGGTCCCATGCAGGTACAGGATCCACTCTCCACCTTGCAGGAAAAAAGTCCAGAAGAGTTAAAGGCGCTGCGGTGCCAATCCAAACTGAAAGTCCGGAGAAAGTGCCGCTGTCACCAAACGACCTCCATCAAATATTCTTCACGTCAATCAGTCTTAAGTCGTGAAGGTCTTGATTAACGTTTCAAGTCGGAATACATCCTCTCTGACTTTCTGTGACAGAGCATTGGCGATTATTTTTAGTTTTACGCACGGATCTTTACGCATCAGCGGTCAGATGCGCCCTGTGAATTTCCTGAAAATGTGTGACTCAATTAAAACATGTTGAATGAATCCCACGGGTAGCAAAACGGCTTTATTCGGTTTCCGTGCAGTTGCAGCAATGATGCTACAGCTGTCCCTCTACAAGATGCACAGATAGTAAAACTCCAACGTCAACCTTCCTCCCACACGTGTGTTTCTTGTGGTCGCCTCCAGTGCACATACAGCATCTGTCTCCCTCTACATTTAAATACTTTAACTTGCGGGAAAGTCAATATCCTCGACGAGAGCAGGCGGAGCGTCCATGCTGGAGCCAATATGAAACTGAATACTTATTAAAACACTTTGCCTGCACCTATTTGCTCACAAATCTATACACACAGAATTCAGCAATAAATCGAAATGTATATCATTCTTCAACATTTAAGATGGAATTGTAAACTACAGTCTATATATGCACTTTAGACCCACACACAAAATATCTAATATCAGCATGTCTTCTAAATGTTTTGAAGCATTTATTCACAATCATACACATCAATCTCATTCCTCATGCACATGTCATGATATTAAAATGTAAAGTCACAGTGCACTCGGTTTTCTATAAGCAGAAATGTCCACATGGAAAAATTCCCTGGCATGTACTTAAGAAAATCTACAGTTACATTAACTTATTCCCTGACTGCAGGTTAGAGGTTGTTTGGTGGTCCCTCAGGACAAACCTTGATGTACTTTTTCATCCTACATATGTAAGTAATATGTATTCCATGTGAACACATGACACAGAATGGCTTTCACATAACATCTAAAGCCTTTGCCTTGGATACAAATGCTCTCTCGCTCACAATCATTCTTCCATAACTTTTCACAAACCTGGTTTGATTTTCAAACGTGTGTCCTGGGTCTGGTCTGCTACTTTAACAGCATGGTTTCATACACTACATCATGCAATTATATTGTAATTATTCTTTGTGACAACAAAGCGGCAGGGTTTCCTTCAAGGGAACATGACTGTCACATTCGTCTGATAGGGAAGAAAGGGGGCGGTTGTAACATGGGACACTTTGAACTCTGCCTGTCAGGAGCAAACTCTAAACTTGATCAATTGTGTAGACGCCTTCTTCAATTCGGCACAAGAAGAAAATGGCTGTGGATAAAAAATTTGAAGTATCTTTTTCTCCTTAAATCACATATATTTGTGAACAACAGCCACACACTCTCACAGCTAATTATATAGATAAAGTACCATAGTGTAACTTTAATCTGCATTATGACTACCCGAAAGACATTTTACTCCACATGTTAAAATGTTGCTCTTCTCTTTTGACTTTGAGATAAAATACCTTGCTTCTATTTGTTTCTTTAACAGAGAGATGTTTTTAAGTCAATTTAATTTCAGTGGCTAAATAAATGAGGTGATATTCTTGGAAGTGTGAAACAATTGTTACATCCAACCTCACTCTCTCCTCTGTGCCTGTGTGTACAGATGACACAAACATTAACACAGACTGTGAAAAACTGTGACTGTAGGCGAAGGTTGAACACACAAAATGGTGCAAAAACATCTTGCACCTCCTTTGAAATCACTTATGTATATCTGAATCCTCATGACACCATGAGTGAATCAGATATCAGGCGATGTCAGTGTCTATACGCATGCTTTAAATCAGAACAGAAGTGCTAATCTACAGTATAGGGTTACTGACCTCAAGCCTCAAATCGGATTATTGTTCTAATGAGCCAAAACCAACTTTTGGCCATTGATTCTTCCCTTTGAGTGTTCTCTGTATGAACAGTATGGGAAACTTTTGCACCCTTCACACAGAACAGCTGTATAAGAGTATAATATATATATATAATTATGTGAGTTTGGTCAATGTCTTAGCTGTAAATCAGTCATTTCAGCCAATGCAGGGGATTTAGAGGGTGAAAATGGACCTGCCTTATTAGTTCCAGTGGGATACTGCAACAAGTGATTTTGCCACCTGGAACAATTCAGCTTTGTTCTTTCATATTTTGACCCCTTCTGAAGCAATGATCGCACATCCAAATATGAAATCCACATGGGTGATAATTAAAGAGATTGAGTTTTATGAAGACCACACCATGACTCATCAAAAGTGCACGTTTGACTGTCTGAACCCACAGATTAGTTCTGTCACGAGTCATTTAAAGAAAATTTGATTAAGAAGAGGAAACCTGGAGTCGTCTAGATGGGGGGGGATCTGTATATTTAAAACCCACTCTAACAGTGTACTGTACATAAGTCAAACTTTACTTTTTTAGGAGCAAAGTCAGATACACACATTATTCTAGAGCAGAACTTTTTATTCCCTGTAGCTCATGTCAGATTTCAATGGGATGAATGGATTTCGCATGATATTGCCAACTAGTGTTGGTTATCACTACAGTGATTTGATGGAAATTATCAATATTAATTTATTTAATTGTATCTGTCTGCAGAGAACATGAATGTCCTAAATTGTAAACTTCCTCCCGGAAATGTCAGTCATTCAAAAAATGCAGATACATGAATAAATTCTATCCACTAAAGTGTTCATATGCCTCTTCAAACAGGCAACTGAGTCTCATATGCTGAAATCCACAACACTATTTCACTGCATAATGGCCTTTATTCTCTCTAAGTTACTTGCCAGCTTGCTTCCTTGTGTACTTTTGTCATGGTCTTGGGTCAGCCAAGACCAGACAATGACACAAGTCCTGTGTCTTGACTGCAAGGAAAGCTCTCTATTTCCCACATTCTCATTGATAGCTGACAACAGTAGCCAGTGGGAAATTTGAGAAGAATTCAAACACCTTGAACTAGTGACAGAGGACGTTAGCATTCATTTCATCACAGCTGAAAAAGTTTTGACATTTTGGGAAAATACGCTTGTTTGCTTTCTTTCTGAGAGTTTTATGAGAAGATTAGACACTCTCATATCATTACACTCGAAATTAAGTCTACGCTCGTTGCCAGGCAACCTCACAGTGACTCCAGGAACTCATTGCACCCAGCTAAGAAATCATCCTGCACATAACCTCCAGTAAAACCACAGTGTGTTGTTGTTGCACCTTGGTTTTTATATGGATTAAAGGACCAAGATATAATCTGTTAATTATTGAGTATTAGAGGTGCTGGTGCCTTTGGACAGAGCCAGGCTAGCTGATTCACCCTGTTATCATTCTTTATGCTAAGCTAAGCTAACCAGCCGCTGGCTGTAGCTTCATATTTGAGCGTGATAGAGATTTTAGCAATCTTCTTATCTAACCCTCGGCAAGACTGCAAATAAGTGTATTATCCAAAACATTGAACAATTCCTCTACTTATTCACTCCATCTTAGTCTTAACTAGCTATTCTCACATACACTATCTGCCACACAGTATTTACTGCTTTAAAAACCTTGACTGAGAACATTTGGTCGGGTAGTGTACAGTCCATTCATCTCTTAGACTTCAGTACAGTCTACAACAGCCTCTTACAATTTAGAAACAATTCCGTCACTGCAAACTTAAATGGCATTTAGTTAAGGTGACCTGTCAAACAGGTTTGGCTAAAATTCTCCAGACTGTACATGAAAGCTTTCTCAGAAACATGATCAAAAGCTATCATTTTTTATTCTAACTTTTTACATACCTAACTGTCTGCTGCCTCACTCCTGAGATTCTCTAGTGACCAGCTTTTCTGGCCTCTTAATGAGTTTGAGCCGAGTTGACACAGCTCCAAGTTTTGCCCCAGATCCCAACTCTTTTGCCTTTTCTCTTAGTCTCCCCAATGCTGCTTTTCTCATTTGGATCACAGTTTGCTAACTAAAGCAAGGCCCTGGTATCAGCGAATGAGGTACAAAAACAGCAATCATTGGACCCTGTGAAAAAGAAATCACAGAGAGGAACTTTTTGGCAAAGATGCACATTGGTTATTCTTAGAAGAGGAGTGACTGAATGTCTGAAAAGGCCCCAGAGCAGACTACCATTCAGTGAGAGGTATTATTCCCTCTTGCTAATGTGAGACATAAAAATACACACTCTTGCATAAGGCAGAGCCAATGGAAAGGTAGACACCATAGAGGAAGAGAAAAAACAGAGCCAGAGACGAAGACGGGCAGAATATGAGAGAGTGTGTGTGTGTGTGTGTGTTTGGGTGGAAAGAATATGTGGGATGTTGTGATTCTCAGTGTCATCTGGTAGCAGTGTCGCTCACCGTCCAAACCTCAGCGGCTTTTTAGAAGAGAAACTCTTCAATCAACTTGTTGTAATTATGCACTGCTGCTTTGTTGCAACAACGTGAACCACATAATGTGCCTGTAACCACAACACCACACACACCAGTAACTTACCTGGAACTGGCTCGAGAGTGTGCTGGATCACAACATCACTGAAGCTCAGTTTGTTCCTGGGGCAGGACCACATGGAGGATTAATGGCATACATTGTACTAATGGACAAAAATTTGGATGAAAATTTAGCTGTAAATGACAACTGATAAGAAAATGGATACCAATTATTATGGTAATGATTTTAGGTTGTGGTTGGTGTTTGTCCTCTTCCAGCAATTGGCACTTTAAAACATGGACACTCCTTCTTTTAATGGTACATTTGACCACAACCTTTACAACGGCAGACATGGCTTATTGCAGAAAACCCGTTATTAAAGATGTACATTTAAACCTATAAATGGTTTACTCACTTTTGCTGTGTAGGTGTATTCAAAACTCTTGACTCTTTATTAATGACTTATTAACAGTCACTAACATGACCTAAATTGCCTCTTTGGGACCATGGGACTAAAATTAGCTGTTGGGCCACTACTGACCCCCCATCTACAACCATCTGTGCAATGTTCATGTCCAGTGCAACCAGTACTCCTATGCTGCAATATTACTTTAATTGCCCCTTTGTAAGACAGGGCCACAAGAATAACTCACGATGCAGGACCCACCGTAGTTAATATTGTATTGCATTGTTTTGTATTGTAGTGGTGCATAATTAATTTACAATTAATCAAATTACTAAAACTGGTTTACATGCACCCAGGTCTGTTGCTTACTTTGCTTGGGTGGTAAAACAAATATTTATAATAGCAGACTTATTACCGTTGATTAAGGACTTACTGACATTTATAACTGCATTCTTGATGTTTATTACCCTTTATTAATAATTTATTTTTTTTACAATCTGGCAACCTGAAAGTTGAGGTAATTGTCTTTATTAATGTTATAAACCCTTTATAAAGGGCAATTTATTAGAAAATGGTAACAATAAAGTTTTTCTCAGAATGTATAGGCAAGAGTTATGTAGACATTGACTGAGTAAATAAGAATTTTTGAATATCTTGCATAACTTACTGACACATCTCGCATCCAGAGCTGTATGTGACACATTTTTAGGATGCCCCTAGAAGTACCCATTTTGTTTTTATTCAGATGAGGGTAGACAAGAAAACTTTTATCATCCAATGAAAACAAGCAATTTCTAAGTTGTTGCCTGAATGAATTCTCGTCCCTGCACTGAAAAATTCTTCTTGAGTTTCTTCTCAAGTCTGATTGATGGAAAAGACAGCGTGAGAGGGATGGTAATTGTCCTGTACGGTGCCATTAAAATGAGGTAATCAGGGTGGGGTGGGGGTGTGGGGTTGGGGGTGTCTGTCTACCTTTCAGTCACTCGGAGGAGCTCAGTCACACAGTGATGATTTGGTGAGTGTGTTGCGCATATGAGTGAGTGTGTATGCGGTGGTGTCACAATGCCA